TGGCTCACAGGTGACTTGAGGAGGGTCCTTCGTGCCTGCAAGGTCGTCCCTTCCCACCAGCCTGCCCCGGACCGTGTGCCCGCGCAGAGGAGGAAATAGGAACAGGGTCGTTATCGTTACACGGCGAGTAATTACAAGCCAAACACATGTGCCAGCTCCTGGCAGTGAAGACATTTGCCTCCTCTGCAGGAAGCTGGTTGAACTGCAGGGTAATAATAATAGATAATAGGTAATAATAATAATAATACTCATCCTCTGGCTAGAAAAGGGCTGATGCCTCAGTCCGGATTTTGCTGGGGGCTGTTGGGGTGTTTCGGGTCTCGGTGCCACGGGGGTATGGTGCGAGGAGCCCTGCTTACGCCGGCTGTCTCTCGTCCTGGCGCCGCGCACCACTGTAAAGTGCCCGACCCCATCGTCTCGGTGAGCTCCTTCCTGGTGAGGGACTGCTGCCGGAGCCCCCGAAACCTTCCCTTCCCGGGGAAGCAGGAGCTGAGCTGAGCTCAGATCACCCCCTACGCCTTCCGTGAGCTCTTAGCAGTGAATCTGCAAACACGCGGTGCTACGAACCAAAGGAAATGTTTTCGAACAGCTTCAGTACGCACACAGCAGCCAGCGGCCGTTATTCAAGATCCACACGGAGGAGGCAAAGGAGGTGACTGGTCTGCAAACAGCTTCTCCCAGGAGAAGAGCAGCTGTTCTGCGCTTGTCTGCATGTACATAAACGTGCGTATGTGGTGCAAACAGCGGTGACTGCCCGACAGGGAACTAAAGAAATGCCACGGACTCAAGGGTATCACTCAATTTATTAAATTTAAGTGATATTTGCTTCCAGGCAGATAGATACACTTTTAGTAGTTTCCAGTTACCGAATCTCTTTAGACACTTCATGAGCGGCTGTCGGCGCGTTACTCCGTCTCCCGCACGCGCCCACCCGCGGAAGCGGCCAGGGGAGAGCTGCAGCTCAGCCCTTCCTGCTGCATCACTGCACCCTCAAGCGCGAGATCAAACACCCATGTCCGTGCCACGGCCCCGTGGTCTGCTTCGCCGGCCGTCAACCCCGCCAACAGCCACATTAGCACACGGCCACGGCAAATAATTAGGACAACACTTAGTAATGACAAATACCAAAGGTATTTCTGATCCCTCGTACTATTACACCGTGACTTTTTGCTCATCTACATGAGGAAGAGGGCATTTAGTGTACTTGCTTTGATGAGCCAGATCAGGTTGACCGTGTTCTGACGCGCATCGCAGCCGGACAACCCCAGCAGTTGTTCCTCCAGACTACGCAGGGTTGAGCGCCGGCAAACCCCCGCCGCCCGCATTGGCATCAGCCCGGTACAAACCTTGCGGCTCAACGCACGGCTTCGTTCCTCGGCACGCCTGACCTGGCCTTTATCTGTGCCTTGACACGGAAAAAGAAAAGAAAACTCCAAACTCAGCTTAAACGGAGAAGAAATAAAACTGCCCTGTAAATACAGATTTAAGTCTCCAGCCTTTTTTATTTATACAAGGACTCAAAGAACATATTTCGACTTTAGATAAACAGTGCAAGAGAGTTACAAGTACCTTGGTAACAGAAAGAAAGAGATAACTGTCCAGCTATGCCAATAAGTGAAATAATTCTTACTTCTGCAGATAGAAATGCATCTGTTCAAAGCAAAGGTGGACTTTAGATATTTTGCTATGCCTTAGCCCCTGCCAAGCCCGCCGGAAAACAGCAGGCAGTTTGTCATTTGTAAATGATAAGTAGCTGCGCTCTCAAAGCCTTTTGAGACCCTCGCCCTTAGTTAAAACATACAGGTTATGGCACGAAAGAGCAGGCTGAAGGACAGAGAGACACTTGGGAATCCACTATTTCTGCTTCTCCCCTTTCCAGGCGCACGGCTCCTCATTAATATTTCTTCCTAGACCACTACCCCCCCACCCCCCTGCCGCATCCCTGTGAAACACGAGGCCTTTTCCAATCAAAACACCGTGAATCGCCATCTGGAGAACATGGCACCAAACGTTCCTCCCCAGAGCTCCCCCACTCCCGTGACCAACCCGGGGTGGCTGCCAGCCCCCGCCGTGGCTGCAGCCCTCGTCCCGCCACCACCACGGGGCTGGGGGGGGGTTGTCACAGCCCTTTTGAGGGGGCGGGAGCCCAGAAAATGTCATTTATGAGCACTGAAAAGGCCACAGGCTCCTGTCGGGACCTGGGCTGACTTCAGCTTGTTGAGCCGCGCCAGCAGTTGTCCAGCCGCCAGGTAACTATGGTTTGCTTTAGGTTTGCTTCAGTCCAGAGCGACACAGAGGCCATACTCGGCCGTTTTGGCTCCCCAGGGGAAGGTGGCACGGCCAAAGCGCAGCCCCGGGCCACCGAACTGCAGCAGGTTGGGGAAACCGCTTTGGCGTTAACGAAGAGAACAGAAAGACTGAATAATGAGGAGCTGACAAAAAGCAGCAGACCACATGAGAAGGAATACAAAATAAACCCAAGCGGACCCGGGGCCGAGGGGGAGGGGAAGCATCAACACCAACACCATGCGCCTCCTGGCAAAGAGGGACATCGGAGCCAGGGCTGCGGTGACACACGTCCATCCCCAGCTCGGCCCCGGGAGTACTGAGGCAGTGGCCCCCCGGGGCCCAGAGGGACACTGAAGTGTGAGCCCAACCCCAGCCGAAGCGGGGAGGTAGAGAAAGAAGGGTTTTGCCTGTGGAACATTTATTTTACCGTGTCCCTGAGTCCTTAATTTGGACTATTGGGTTTTATTATTGTAACAGGACCAATGATTTGGGCTATTAAATTGTTAAAATCTTGACCGGACAATGAGTAAACCCTTGGCTTCACGTGTAAGGTGTGTTCCCCCTGGGGCCCACGAAAAGCTTTTGAGGGTAAGAGGCTGACAGCAAACGCTAACGGCACAGCAATGGAAGCGACAAGGACTCTCCTTTCAGTCTCCCATTCTGCAAAGCAAAATGTTGACCTCAGCAGTTGTGTGATAAAACTCCAACCCAACCCAACCCAACCCAACCCAACTGTTTTTTGAAGAGGGTACAATGCTTCAATGCCCCTCTCTCTCCCCCCCCCCCT